ATTATTTCCATGGAAAGTTTCCAATATGGAATATTTCCAAAATTCCCAAGCTTAACTTACTATGGAAATTTACCGGAAACTTTTCGGAAATTTACTGGAAATTTTCCACCCCTTTGCAACCCTAAGGACTATACATGCTTTGCGCACAATCGACGTCAACTCCTTTATGTAATCTTTAAGATTACAGGTTTTTATACTGAGTGAGTCTGGGTGGTTGTAGGTATGGAGGTAAAGCAGCTACTTGGAAGGCTGGTGGTTCAATCCCTGCTCCAGTCTGCATGCCTTAGGCAAGATACTAACCGGATGCATTCATCGGAGTATGAATGTTAGAGAGAATGCAATGTAATGTAGAAAAAAAGTGCTTGTGAGAATGAGAGATGCTCAGGTAGAGTAGAAAGGTGCTATATAAGAACCAGGCCATTTACCATCATCACACAATGTTCATTCTGCCAGAGCAGTACAAAGCCATTATTGCTTGGGACACACAGATCTTATTTGTGTACACACACACACACACACGTTCATGGGCACTTTATATATTTTGTTTTTAGGCTTGCTGTAACAGACCTTGACTATTTTGTCTGTGACATCTGTGCTGGTGGTGATGAGAGAGATGGGAATCCTGGTCAGATGTGCTGGTATCTGAGGCCCCGTACCCTCCAACAGCACATGGACAGGCATGACATCAAGGTGAGACCTGAGAGGCTGAGATAGCAAAAATAAAATAAAATAAAAAAGGACAAGTTTAGTATAATTCCAGTCTGCCACCAATCCAGTTGACAAAAGTGAATGTCAGCAGCTTCAGACCTGAATGTGTCATCTGCCCAAGAATATAGAACCCGCAGCAGCTGACAGACACTGATCCACTGTGTGATCAGTTTGTTTAAAGTCTGGTTGAACCCTCCTCTACCACAGACAACTCATTACCTGACAGGTACCACCAGATCCATGTCAACAGTACAGCAGAAGGATTCAAATCTGTTAGGCATTTCAGAGAAAAACCCAAGAAAAGTATTGGCCCTGTTCATAGCAGGTAACATGCTGCTTCATGTCAGAGCTGGTTAGTTTTATCTCAAGCACATTTGACTGGCGAGTCCCTTGGTGGTACCCTCACCAAGAGAGGACAGCAAAGCAGGAACAGCCTGCGAGGCAGACGAGCTGTTCAGCAGAGCGTGTGCTCAACTGCTCAGTCAGGTGGAAACTCAACAAGGGTAAAAAAACACCATCAAATAAAACTCTCTGATTTAAACCCAAGGGGTGGAGCTTGAGGCCTGAATTAGTGTAGGATGAGTGATTTACTCATGAGTTCAGAGCTGCTCTGTGTTCACAGGCTCACCTACACCTGTAGGTTCATCAGCCTGGCCTGTGGCACGGCTACTCATCTGGCAACTCAGTTCAAACACCAAAAAATAGTCCATAATTTTTATTTAACTGGTTAATGCTGCACACCACTACAAATCATGTAAAAATATCAAAGAGTAAACTGCGCTCTCTTCTTTATGGTGTACGCAAGGTTTACAAGCAAACTCTGGTATACAAATAGCGGATTTTAGAAGTCAAAATGGGTTGAGTTCATAAATGCATTTACTTGTTCCGTTTCATACCCATTTACCAGCAACGTCAGGCATCATTTACTCCCATTGGCAGTTATTTTATCCTCTGCCACAAAGCTGAGCAAACTTTAAGCCAGGACCCGTCCAGTCTCATGAGACAGGGAGTGGCAGCTGTGCTGGCAGATTTTCAGCTACTAAAATTTATGAGGGGGTTGATGTTATTTGAGTTACTTATTTAGCACTTTCACCTAGAAAAAAAATCAGATTTTCCAAAATCTTAGCCTGACAAATAACCTTCATACAACAGAATTAAAAACAAATAACGTCCACAAAGCCAACCATTTTTCAAACCATAAAACTGGATTGAAAATAATATTTTAAAACAAAATAAAGCCTATCAACAAATGCAGCATCACCTCTAAAAAGAACAATAAAAGTCAAGAAGAGATTTTCCTAAAAGTGATTACTGCCTTTACTTTTCTACATAAACTAAATGCATTTAAACAGTTGGTTGTTTTTATTTCCTACAAATGAAAGAACAGGCCTGCAGCTTTGTGATGAGTTCATAATGACAGCTGCATACAGCTAGTCTTGTTAGTCATCCTCAGTCTGCTCTGACAGGAGGAGGATTCACTGACAAAGAAGCAACACAGAGGCCACCAGCCGGCTGCCAACAGTCAGCTGCACTGGGACAACAGCCGATCCCTGCCAAATGTAGGAATGGCCATCCCATATAGACAACAGCCTTCCTATTGCTCAGAGCATCACTGAAAACCCCAAACATGAACCACCTAATACCAGCTCACCGCTGAACCATAAACAGAGTGTGGCAGAAGTGCATTGGAGACATGACTGTTGGGGTGGGAGGATGCTCAGTATTCACACAGTATAATATAGGTACTGACTGGCCCCCCTCATAAGCCATTATGATTTACTGAAGTATGACTGAGCCAAACACTATACCTACCTACCTATAGGGGCTTTTATCAAGTTAGGAGCCGTTTTTGAGTGCTGAGCACATGAAGTGTGTTGACAACAACAGCACTGAAAGAACACAGTTTATAAAAATCACTTAAAACTACACTCCAGTAGTGAGTCACGGGCTCTCTGTGGACATGCAGGGAAAGACTGGATGCATCCACTCCTGCCAACTCACATAAAGATTATTTTCCACAACCAAAAACTAAATTAATTAAATAAAAAATAACAGTAACAATCATTTTTCACTACACATTGTATAACCTGATACCAGACACTGAATTGCTGACTTGCTCTAGTTATTATTTTTAAATTAACAATGAATCAAATGGCCATCTGTCATAAAAAAGTAAAATAATTTTTAGTTTCTTTAGTTCCCCGAGCTTTATGAAGCTTTTTAAGTCCCTTTTAGCCCAATTTTGGTATATAGTGACATCTGTCTCAAAAAAGCTGCAATCGAACTAAAATGATCTATTCAAGAACAAACAGCAATCTGATGATTAAAGTGAACCATCTAGCAGCTCCATTCAGTATTTTAAGACTTAAAACATATTTTTATTCATTGGCATTTGAGTCTGTCTGATTTGCCTTTATCAGTTTAGCACCTACTATAATGTATTTGATTTCTTTCTTATCAATTCCCTTATTTATTTTTATCCATTCTGTCTTTTGTATAGCACTTCAGTCAGTGAGTTGCGTTTAAATGTGCTTTATAAAAAACAAATTTGAGCATCTGTGTATAGAAATGAATACTATATTAAAAGTGCCAAGCCTCAGCTTTAATTTATGTAGGTTCAAATCCCTATTTAAACAGCAGTGTGGCTCATCCAAACCATTTTGAAACAGACACACTCACTGCATGCACAGGTTATTGAGCTGGTAAATAACCTGGCATGAGACAGGTCAAGGATATCAAGGTCAATAGACAGAAGTATTTCTGGATGGAGGCTAGCAGGTTCAAAAGCAGCAGACCAACCTACGCTTAGGTGGCTATACCAGGGTATCTAAAAATCTCAACAATATGATTTACAATATAGAGAAGCCCTTTTAATTCGTTTCATATTAAACATATACAGCGATACTGTATATTAAAGCAAAATAATGTTGGAAAGCTATGTGCTGGGAGCATATAGACAAAGCAGCAGTAGAAGCAGTTTTCCTTTCCTCTTTTTTAAAGAAAACACAGACACACAGTCACACTATGTTGTCTTTTTAGAAAGATCATCAGCTGTTAAGAAGTTTAAACTGTAGTTAAACTAACAATGCTTCCATTAATGTTATCTTCATTTCACTTTTCTGATATCTTCTTGGGCCTGCTCCTTATGTCTGTGGGGGAGACAAGCTTATTATACAGAGGAAGCCAAAGCCAAAATGCCCTGAACTATACATACACTTGACAAAGTCCCTAAAATTTTATATACACATAATTCTTAGTTTTGTTGGTTTTAATACTTAAAATTGTTAATTTCTTCACTTTCATCAAGCTGCAGCCACATGAAAGTAAAATGTCCTCACTGTCTCATAAGCATGTCCAGCAGCAGGTCACCAGACACACACACCAGGCAAACTATGGCACAGCGAGTGGTCACCACTTAAAAAGCCTTGGGGAACTTGACTTTTCCTCCCTTTAGGTGGGTGAAAAAGGATGAGTGAGCTCTTTTGCTCTCTCACAAAGATTTAGTGATAAGACCAGGTAAAATGTGAACAGTTATTTATTGTTTGCTACAAATTTAGATTCATTGTGGTAAAGAGGGGAAAGGGACAGTCACATATATGTGCAAGTTCATATAGGCACACTCGTGCTTTTGTAAATACATTATCAAATTATCAAAGTTTCTTCTTTGAGAATGTTTTATTAGTAGGGACTACCACTAACTACTAAACTGCCTAGTCACTATTCACTTTACTCTCTGGTGGCTGCAATGAAGAAAAGCCAGCATATTATTATTCTGAAGCTTGCCCAGTGCTTTATGAAAAATATTATTCTGCTGAAAACAAGACTATATAATGGTGTAGATGTTAATGAAAATTCAATATCTAACCTAAAGGCCTAGGTCAGTGACTCAGAGTTTTATAGTCCATGTAATTTTAAACAGTTTGGACCACTCTCTCATAAGTCATCAGTTCTTTTTCTTAAAATGTAGCAACAATGTAAAATTAACAAAATACAAGGTAAGTACTCAATTGTAATTAAATAAGTATAGAATTCCTTATAGGCTGTGTTTACATTTGTAATTCCATCAACAGTTGTTCAAATCAGAAATAAAATCAGAGAATAATTACCCATCTCAAAAGTAAATAACCAATACAATAAATGTGCATCATAAGGCACTTACAATGTAAGCATTGTCTGTTAATAGCCACCACCTGCTTCTGTAAAAGTAATCAACTTCAAATTTTCCCCAATGTGAAACTTCTGCCAAAGGGAGTCAAATCTGATAGATGGCTGAAGTTAGGAAGATGCTGCCTGCCACACACCTGGTGGATTTTTTTGTAAGCAATAGTGCATTAGTTAATAAAATGCTAATAACAGAAACAGTCCGTAGGGCTGCTCGATTATGGCAAAAATGATAATCACGATTATTTTCACTGGCTAATAATCGGCTCAGTCATTTTTAATGATCGTTGAAAGCCCAGATCGTAATCGTGATTAAAATTCGATTAATTGAGCAGCCCTAACAGTCCGTATCCTGGAGAAGAGAAATGTCTTCCAACTGAACAGTCATATGTCATAAGTCAATACAACAGTAACACACCACTCAAAACACAGTAAATCAAGTGCATCTTAAAGTGTCCATGAAACACTACATGTATTAAGGCTAATTTACACTATGAACCCCTACTCTAAAAATACTCTCATCAATTTAACGCTGTCCATGAAGCTAGGATTTAAAAAAGGGTTAAATGTAACATTTTTAGAGCATCTGTAGCACCAGTTTGTGCCAGTATTGAATGTGACATCACTCGGTTGGTTGTTTGCTGCTAATATACTTAGTTCATCTTAACTAACTTGTGACAGAACAATCAACGAAGTGAAAAAGACAGAAACAAACCCCAAAAATTAACCCCCCAAATAAGGGGGACAGTGTTGAACTTCAGCTTGTGGGTCCTGTGAACCACTAGCGCACAACTCGCTCAAACAGCTCTTGTCCACAGTCCTCATTTATAATGTCTATAAACAAATACATACAATATAAACAAACCCAAATATTGTGGCTAACAGGCAGATTCTCCCCTTTCAATGCAGCTAGCCAACAATGAAGAACCACTTACTGCTAAAGAGACAGAATAAGCAGACAGTACATTCTTGGTTTTTAATTTAACAGTCATCGCTGCTGCCAGGAGCACCAGAAAAGGTAACCTCTTAAGAGAGCTTCTTTGTTAGAGCTGCCTTGTTTCCACTGAGTCATCAGTTCTTGCACAAGTTAGTAGTGTTAATTTTGACAGCTAATGTTAATTTAGTTTTAATGATAGTCTTTTGACTAAAGTGTCATTTAGTTTTAGTCATAATTTAACCATCTAAATTATTTTAGTATTTTTTAACTAAATATAGTAATAAAGCTACAGTAGTTGATCTTGTTAGCTAAAATATAACAGTTTAAAGTATGTTGTGTCTTTACCAGTGAGAGTTGCTCCAAAAGGTTTAAAAAG